GATTTTTTGGTTAAACTCACAGAGCTGATGAAAATGAAATGGGAAACATGAGCGAGAAGCTGAAGCTATGAGAAATTCCATTACTGAGAATGGAGGTCAGTTTCCAAAAAAATGAATTTCAAGCTAAATTTAATAATTTTTGAGTCAGGCTAACTTTTTAATAATGTTTGTAACAAAAAGGAATTTTGCATTTATAACTTTTCAACTTTACCGTGAGAAACAAACCATATCGTTTTCTGTTTAGATAAAACCAGAGAACAGGTGAGAGGTGAAATGGAAAATAGTAGCGAGAAGACAACTGAGGAAGGAATGTTAATCTAAATTCCATAACTTGGGCATCCTTTCTTTGATTACTATCTTTCAGTCAGCTATTACTAATGTGATGGCGAGTGTCAAAAAAACTGCCACTTAAAAGCTTTTTAATAATCTTAGAACTATCGTAACTTAAAATAGGCGTCTGAAAATCAGGAAACCGGAGTCCGGAAAAGGAACAATAGGAAAAGAACCGGAATGGGGACGGGTGTTGGACGCAGAATAACACTGATTGGGAACCGATATAAGCCGGACAGAAACGTCATATAAACTGATTGAATTAAATTCTCACGTAACTTTTTAACCAATTTACACAAAAGAAAGAAAAACCGCCTTAAAAAGGAACATATTTGTACCTTAGAAATATTTTATAAGGGCTTGTTACACGAGGCGATTTGCAAACGTCGAATTGTCGGGGTAACAATGTTGTGACAATATTGCGACAATTGAAAACATTTTCGAACATTTTATGACACTCAAAATCGTCGTTGCGAATCATCCCGTGTAACATCGCCCTTAGTCTGTGATCCTTTTCCTCCCTTTATCTCCACTCGTCCGTTGCAGGAAGGGAGGGATAATACATTTATTTTCAGTGTTGGATCACATGGAAACGAGACGCCCAGTGGTGCTAGATATATTGTACGGTATTCAAACCTCAAGTTTGAGAGACAGCCAAACGCTTTAAGAAAATAGTACGCCTCGTCTCATTCAAAATAAGACCACCAGCCCAACCTCTCTGGCCTCTTTCAACTGACTGCATTGATGGTGGAAATGAAAACGTCACGTGTTAAAAGTAGAGAAAGGTTAATTAGATTCACTTCGCAATAATCCGCTTACATCTTGCGACCCCGAAATCTTAAAGATGTTACATTTTACCGAGTTTCCATCTCCTCCGCACGTTATGTTTCGTCCACAATGCAAATATATTGCTAAAAAAGGTTGAAAACATCACCATAGAGTAGTTTAAGATTGCCTGGCACCCCATTTGTCTCAATTAGTACCTGGTCCCTTACTGATTCAAAACTTATTATAATAGTATATCTCAAATCACATCCCCTTTTCAAAATCCAACATGCCAGCAAGGGGCCAGCTTTATAAATTTACTTGAATGTGTGGTCGTTTAAAAATTTTGGTAGATAGAAAACGAACTGACGACGCGCGCTCAAAATCACCTGAAAGAAAACAGCCATCTTGAGCTGAAATGGAGGCATCGTCGTCACTATCTGAAGGCTAAGAGAGGGGCTGAGCCTGACGGCTATTAAAGAAGTGGTCTCCCCTGTGGTCGATTCTTTTCTTATCAACCTTGGTCATTATTGCTACTTGTTCTTATTGAGTTATTAACTGAAACCATCTCTGTTTTTACAGGTAGCTACACTTTATGTCTTATCTCACAGCAAAATATCATCGTTTATTTCGTCTTTTTCTTCCCACCCTTAAACCCTGCTCTATTCGCTTTTCCTATTCCGGTTCCGGTTCCTGTTGCCATTCCCTTTCCTGTTGTGAATTCCGAATGTCTGTTTCCTAGCTTTCAGACATCCACTTTAAATTGTCCTCAATGAAAGTTGTGCGATGAAAGTTTAATTCTGTTAAGTATATATTTCCTGACAGATAGAACAAGAAAAGACTTGAAGCAGATCAATGAGATGTTGAAGACTTCGGTCCTGCGCCCAAAGAGGAAGGTCAGTTTCCCAAACTGTAGCCCGCTAGAAATTTAAAGTATCCGTCTAAAAGAACTGTTAAAGGCAGTATTACTGATCGATCGGTGATCGTTTGTCTCACAGGTGTCGCTCCCGGCTCTTGGGTCCCAAAACCGTTGAAAAATAGATGAGGTTATAGGTGACCGTGAGTCCTCAAACACCCTAACCTAAAGTTCATAAACAGTAGTCCTTTTCCCTGCTTTTCGCAATTTTCAGTGGTCTGCTAACCTTTGCCCTTATTGAAGCTCCCCTCCCCGCCACCCCCACCACTAGTTTGGAATGTTTTACGCTTGCTTTCGAGGCCCAGCACGTTGGCTAAAGGAGATAATTAATAAAAAAGCTAAGTTTTGTCTAGCAATCGCCTTTTCCAGGCTTTGTTATACCTGTAGTTCAATTTATTTGTTTGAGGGACTTGGAAACTAGCAAACCTACCAATTTTAGACAAAATAATATCTACAACAAAGCTTGGTTCTCATTTATTCTCAACAGTTGATTTGGTTGTCGACCATATTGAAATCATTCGCCGGAAGTACAAACGTCATGAGGGATGGCTCGCGCCCTTTCCTTGGTGCGAAGACTTTCAGTTCCAACTAAGCGATATTTATACACGGCTTCGTATGGTCAACAGAGAGAAAAAAGCGAGAGCAACAGCAGAGCAAAAAGTTGTTGAAACGACTGAAATCTTCAATCCCCACGAAGAATGCAAACAACCTAGAAAAGTGTTGATTGAAGGAATGCCAGGCATGGGAAAGACGACATACTGCAATAAGGTTGCTTACGACTGGGCTATAAACATAAAAAAAGAAGGAGATTGCTGTCCGGAATTTGAGATGGTGCTCTTGCTGAGATGCCGTGATGTCGAGATCGAGTTCGACCTTTGGGAAGCCATTGACGATCAGCTTTTACCAAGTGAAATTCAACGAGAGGAAAGAGAGAAATTCTTTGAGTTCATCCAGCAAAATCAATCAAAGGTTTTACTGATACTTGACGGATTAGACGAGTTACCCTCGAGCAAACTGACGGACTTTACAGACATCATACAAGGTAAAATGCTTCCTCAATGTCACGCGACACGAGGCAGGGATACCTATGAGAAAGGTTTGTGACACTCTGCTAGAGATTGAAGGTTTCACTTATCAAGATAGCAAAGAATATATTCACAAATATTTTGCCGGTAAGGAAGATTTGGCCGAAAAGCTATTGGATAAAATACAGAATGAAAAGAGGCTTAAAGAGATGACGGCGAATCCATTAAACACTGCACTGCTTTGCCTTCTTTGTGAAGACTTTCAAGGTATTTTTCCTGAAAGCAGAACTCAGTTGTATATGGAAATAGTACATTGTGTTCTTGTTAGATACAGGAAAAAGAAAGGTCTTCCAGTCGAAAATGAGGATCTAATTAAAATCTACAACGACGAGTTGAAACTCCTTGGCTTGCTAGCTTTAAACGGCCTGTATGAAGACAACATGTACTTTGAGGACAAAAAGCTTGCAAAAAAAGATGCCGACTTACCTGGATTTGGATTTCTATCAGCTCAACCTGGAAGCAGCAAACGAAGACCGTGTATGTGCTACGGCTTTACGCATAAGAGTTTTCAAGAATTCTTCGCGGCACATTGTCTTTGTTGCCAACTTGTTAGCAAAGAAACCAGTCCTGAAATATTGGTCACTGACACCAGATATTTCGGAGAGCTAAGAGAGGTGTTGACATTTACCTGTGGTCTCCTAGCAGTAAGATCCAAAGAAATTGCAGAAGCTCTTATCATCAGTATAGCGAAAAAGTTAAACAACGAAAACGTGAGAGAATGTTTACCTGTGGCAGTGGATTGCATTAAAGAAAGCAAAATTGAAAGCAGTAATTTTCACATGGAACTGGCCCGTACCTTTGGCACATGTCTGGCACTTCAACATGGAGGGATCATAAGTGAAGGTCTAGATGACGCTGCTACAGCTGTGATTGCTGCCGTGCTTGAAGCAAACACAACTCTGACAAATTTGCATTTGTCCATCAATAACATTGGTCCTGTCGGTGCTGAGTCACTTGCTACAGCGCTAAAAACAAACACAACTCTGACAAATTTGGATTTGTCTTACAATAACCTTGGTCCTGCCGGTGCGGAGTCACTTGCTACAGCGCTAAAAACAAACACAACTCTGACAAATTTGGATTTGTTTCACAATAACCTTGGTCCTGCCGGTGCGGAGTCACTTGCTACAGCGCTAAAAACAAACACAACTCTGACAAATTTGCATTTGTCTTACAATGACCTTGGTCCTGCCGGTGCGGAGTCACTTGCTACAGCGCTAAAAACAAACACAACTCTGACAAATTTGCATTTGTCTTACAGTGACCTTGGTCCTGCCGGTGCGGAGTCACTTGCTACAGCGCTAAAAACAAACACAACTCTGACAAATTTGCATTTGTCTTACAATGACCTTGGTCCTGCCGGTGCGGAGTCACTTGCTACAGCGCTAAAAACAAACACAACTCTGACAAATTTGCGTTTGTCTGACAATGACCTTGGTCCTGCCGGTGCGGAGTCACTTGCTACAGCGCTAAAAACAAACACAACTCTGACAAATTTGGATTTGTCCATCAATAACATTGGTCCTGCCGGTGCGGAGTCACTTGCTACAGCGCTAAAAACAAACACAACTCTGACAAATTTGGATTTGTCTCTCAATAACGTTGGTCCTGCCGGTGCGGAGTCACTTGCTACAGCGCTAAAAACAAACACAACTCTGACAAATTTGAATTTGTCTCTCAATAACGTTGGTTCTGCCGGTGCGGAGTCACTTGCTACAGCGCTAAAAACAAACACAACTCTGACAAATTTAAATTGTGTTTGGTAATAACCTTAGTTCTGCTAGTGCTGAATGTCTTGCTAAAGCGCTTGAAGCAAACACAACTCTGAAAAAGGTGTTATTGTGGCCATGAAGGTAATAATAGCATCAATGCATCTGTTCAAAACACAGTTTATGTACACGGTAACCGTATCCCACATTAAAAATTAAAATTTTGGTTCAGTTTTCTCTTTCTCCTTATTTCTTTGCCTTTTTAGGAAATTAGCAAATTAAAAAAAATACCAGTTACTTACTCTCTCATTTTCTTTCTTTCCCTTTTTCTTTCTGTGCCATTTGTAAAACTCACCACGTCCTTTCAACGCAAATGGATTTTTTCAGTTTAACAAAAATCACGCATCCGCTCACTCTAGTTTCGTAGTTAGATCTAGTTAGAGCCTGGCAATAAGGTAGTCCATGCAATGATATAAAGAAAAAATTCAGTTATTGAACAAAGGAATTAGCCTAGATATCAGCCGTTTCAGTCTCCGCCCGCTCATTCGGGTGGTTTGCGACTAACGGAGGCAGCTGACATTTAGCCTAAAGAAGGGATGTAATCGAAGTATATGTAACTTAGTATATGTACATAGAGGTTGTCCTTGTTTCGCATTTTTTTAAGCCGATGAATTTTGCTAAAAGTGGCAAATGAAAACTTTCTGCTTTAACAGCTCTCTTGCTGTTTGTGATACATTATTTCATTAATCGTGTAATGTGTAACAGTAAACACTGAGTCTTTTAATTTTGTAGGTGTTGAGTTCAAGTTTTTAGAACTTGTGGACTAGCGTTAATAGACTAGTGTTATGTAGAGAATTTGCATGGGGATGATCAGATTTTAATTATCAGTCAAACTTTCAGCGCAGCGATATTTCAGCCATCTGTTAATTTTTTTACCTCAAAACTCGGCTATGTAAAGATTAGTGCGTAAATAATAGATTCATTAATTTCTCTGCTAACGGTTATAATGTTGGCCAATTTTCAGCTGTCAGTCAAATCCCATCCTGGTTCTTTATGTAACTCCATGTACTACAGTGGAACCTCGATTTTACGAACCCCTACAATGAAGTCCTCTGTGTAATGAACGAGTTTCTTCAGCCTGACCAAAAAAACAGTAAAATTCACATGGAACAGAACCTCGATTTAACGAAGTCCTCGTTCCTCGTTATAACGAAGACAATTCATAAGCGCAAACGTAAAATTTACCTCGATATAACGAATAAATGACAGCATGCCGGGTAAAAGATGAATTTCAAACAGTCCACAAGGATAAAATTTATGTGTGCAGTAGTTTTAAGCAGTTTTGTTTGCCTTTTCTTGAGTTTCCATCCGCCGTAGCTATGTATAGCTCGGTACTGAAATGTTATTATGGTAAGAGTAATTTTTCAGATCCGGGAATGCTGGATTTTGTAAATTAATTATTAACTATACCTCGATATAACGAACATTTTGGTAGTTTTCCCGAGAATTCTGTAAATGGAGGTGTTTGATATAACGAATCCTCGATTCAACGAACAAATTTCTCCGGTCCCTTGGCACTTCGTTAAATCGAGATTTCAGTGCAACTAACTACATTACATAGAAGACAGAAACAAGTTTTACTTACGCTTGTACTTTTAAAATGTCCGGTTTAAGGTTTCGGTTAGCATGCAGTGCGAATCAGTGTACATTCTGAGCGAGACTACTGAAACTTGTAAGAAGTTCGTGTCAAGTTTCCGTCGTAACAAGCATATTTATGTCATTGCAGCTGATCAAAACTTGGGTAAATAAAAGTATTGTGAAGTATTAGTAAGAAAAACGTGTGCTCGTATCGTTATTAATCCCACCTTATCTTTTCATAACATCATATCATCGTGCACAAAAATGAAATATCAAGAAAAAAAGTACTGGTGTTTTACCTGTGATGGGTGTTGTTCTTCTGAACAGTGTTGTCCATGTGACGGGTGGTGTCCCTATGACGAATGTTCAAAAAACAAACAAACAACAACAACGCTCTCCGGCCCAGGTTCAAGCCCATACGCAAGCCCATTCGCTAACGGTCACTATCTCCCGTGAGACAATCTTTCGTGTATTAGCCTTCCGTTCAGGTGTATCTAATAAAATTAAAAACGCTCACCGAACTCCTAACTAACAGATGAAAATATATATTTTTGAAAGCGATGAAATAAAAGCATCGGATCCCACGCGGGATAAGAACGTTTCATTTTTTTAAGATTTGTGGCATATCTTATTGTTTTTTGTAAAATGCTCAAGCTTGCTTTTTCAGAATATCACTTAATCAGTAGCGCTTGCTTTAACTTGCCGCCGGACTTGAAATCAAATCGCTGAGCGACTCAAGAGAGGTCCGCAGGCAAGACCTTGGAGGTACTAGACAGGGGGGGTAATGTAGAAAATTTTAGACGGGGAGGGACCACCCCAAGGTCTAACCAATCACCCTTTTATATACCATTTTTGACAGAAATGGTGCCCCTTTCGTATACCTTCCAGTGACAAATGGTACCGCTTTCACATCAAAGTTTAGAACCTTGCATCCCTTTTAACTGCTATAAATGCACTGTATTTAAATCATTACATGTAATAAATCACACAACCAGAACATTTTCTCGACTTTTTCACAGCCATAAAATCCTTCTGTAGCCCTTTAGGGTCATTTTACAGATCAAATGACAGATGTCCCTACCCTTCCACATATTTCAACCGTTGGAGTCGCTACCCTTTCATATACCTAAAGCCTGAAAAAGGTCCCCCTTCCGGGCGGAGCTACCCCGTATTGACCATAACATAGGGATTACACTCCCCCGCAGCACTAAGTAAGACTGGTAGTGCTTAATATCGATCAAACATTGATTGATGCGCGGGAGAATTGTAAAATGATTTAAGGCCAATCCCTGCAAAAACATTTCTGTTTTTAAACAGAATGGTATACGTGTGGTTGGGTGAAAACGATTGGAAAGCGATACGTGGACGCGAAGCAGTCTACCTGAGGTTATAAAAAGCCGTTTTCAAAAGAAAAGGAACGCGAGTGTCGGGCGGACTGGGTTTAATTGATGGGCTCCAAGCTGCGAAATACGAACAACAGTTTTAAGGTCCTTGACATCTACGGCATTCATTCTTAATCTATCGTTACTTTTATGAATTGCTAAGTAAGTAATTAGTCTTTGCCTACTAGCTAAGCAATTTGCCCAGAACCCCAGCGGAGGCGGAGTAGGCTGTAAAACAGTCGGTTTTTTTCTCAACATCAGTAAAGAAATCGGTAAAGCGTGGCGTGAGAGTCTTGCGAGTCTCACACGCCCCCGTAAGAATGTCTGCGGGGGAGGCTACTCTGTAGGGAAATTAAGATGGTTTGACAAGAGAAAAGCGGAAGACAGTGTGATAAAGGAATTTTGTTAATTCACATTTTGCTATTCCATCTGTTTAGAGTATTTTCTAAACAGATCATATAAATAGTCTGGAATTTGTTAAAGCTGAAAGAAAAAAACATACTGTACTTGTAGTTCCTTTATAAGACAGCCTTTTAAATGAATTGCAGGTCTGAACGGTGGAGTTGTAAATAAGCTAATCTGGCTATGTTAATTTTTAATAATCTTTTTTCCATCAAATTTAATTACTGGTAAAAACCTGTAACTAAGAACCAGTATTTTCCCAAATTAGCCTAAATAGATCAAGTTCTTACACAAAAGTTAATTAGGCTGTTTAGGTTCAGTCTCAAATAGGTCCTTTTTTTGAAGAAAAAAATACATTGTACCTTTGAGCTAAAAGTATTTAGCGGTGTTCAGCTCATTCCTTAGTGTATGTAAAACCCGTATACCATTACGTTGCAGTTGGAGTAATGATTAGACACCTATGTCTCAAATGAGGACCCTGAATGTTGACTGATTTTACTTACCCAAGTGTTTTTCAAAGAGATTTTTTATGGTAATAGGACTAAGTGGAGTTCAGTTCGGTCTGTAATCATACGAGTGTTACAACATCTGCCGACCGCGAAGCAGGAGTCAGATTTGTTTAATCATGAGTATGATTACAGACTGAATTGGACTGAATTCCTGTTACCAATTAATTATAACCATTACAATTTCCGAGAAAATATGATTTTCTTATGTAACTGTCCGATTGCTGGCAACTGTCCGCTGACTACAGCCAACTGTCCAATTACAAGCACGCACAATGATTAAATAAAAATAAAGCAGTTAATGCACCAATCAAATCTGAGGAAATTGTTATGGTTATGATTAGTAACCTGTTTCAAATTTGAGGGTTCTTTTAAAAAGACAGCCTAAGTTTGAGGCTAACAGGCTGGGTGTCAGCCCATCCCTTTTTTGTTTATCCATGTCAATGAGGTCAGATAGGGATTTTACATTTGATCTTCTTCATCATGGTGCTTTTAATAGGAAGCTTTTTTCTTCTAATCAGGATCATATTAACAGTCCTTTACTCTGACTGATTTATTGAGGGATGAAGAACAGTAAGAGGTGAAGTTGTTATAACACAACCACCAACTCCTTTCCACAGCAGGAACAGAGTGCTTAGGGATGGAAAATAAACATGAGAAACTGATTGAAGTATTAAAATCTAGCTTAGTTTGATTTCCTTATTGAGTTTCCTTATTGATCCCTCCAGAACTTCACACCTCCAAAACGGTTTTTTTTTCACATTGATTTCATGCCTTTTTAATTTACTAATTCAGTACACAACTATAATCACTGTAAATTGTAGTTTTTTTTTTTTTCACTTTAAAGGTCAAGAACCAGTGAACACATGTTTGGGAGCGATACATTTTTAAATAAGTGTTGTAGTTATCAGTTACGACAAGGAGTAATTTCAAACTACAGAAATTTTAACAATATGACCAGGAGTGCATAAGGGTTTCTTTTCAGGTGTGTTACACTTGCAAGCTTAGAAAAAAAAGAAGGGCACAACTTTCTTGATTTCTCTCAGATAATGACAAATTAGACTACTTTTGGGCTTAAGGCTTGTTCTAAACATAAATCTTCAAAGGGAAATTAGATGCTAAGAAGCCA